TTGGGTGATAGGGGGTATCCATGTTTACCCTATTTGCTTACCCCTTACCCTGACCCTGAACCGGGCCCACAGCAGCGATATAATCTGGCTAATTGCAGGACAAGAGCCAGAATTGAAATGACTATCGGAATGCTTAAGGCCCGGTTCCAGTGCCTGCAAAGACTCAGGGTCACCCCAGAAAGGGCATGTGACATTATTGTGGCATGTGTGATTCTTCACAACATTGCCACAATTAGAGGAGAACACTGTCCTTCTGAACCAAACATCAGCAGTGATCCAAACCATGAACATCCTGACCCTCCCACGGACATACAAGATGGAAGCGCAGTCAGAGACACCATATGTCACAATCATTTCTTTTGACCCATCACCTCAACATGTTGAAAGAAGAATAAACAGATTTTATGTTCAACTGGCTTTATTGGTCGCCTGTGTTTCCTGTACACAAAGTATTAAAAGATGTAAACCTCATAAAGTGTCTGTTGCTTCCTCCTCTGTAACAGCTGTCAATGTTTCTTCATTATTTTCCTGTAGTAAAGAAATAAACAACATTGCTGTTCTACTGTAAACTCATATAATCTGTGGAGTATTACTCACAACTGCATGTTGGTCTGGCTCAACAGGAGGCTGCACCAGATGCAGTACACCACCACCATCAACTGATAGAATATGAGGTTTATACAGGTCACTTATAACTTACAAGGGACCAAATGGCAATTAACAAACATACCAATCACCTTACACTTCATTGTCATTATGCTCTCAAAGACAACCAAGACTGAGGGAAGGCAAAATCAGTAGGAAAATGACTTCACTACAAAATAATCCATTATGGTAAAGAGTTTATCAAATGAATGAGCAGCACTGCAAAGGTGACTGTGAAGAAAGGATGTATGCACATCATGTATTATTTTGAATTTACCCCCTATGTAGGCACTTGTGTCTTGCGGGGTTATTGACTCAGAGGATGTCCCCGCAGAGATGCCTTCGGCCACAGGGCGCCCACTGTTTTGGCTGAGGGCCAACTGCTCAGCCTCTGTGAGTGGTGGTGGTGGAGGACCCCCACCTGTTTTTCGGGCCTCCGCTTTTTTTCTGTTGGCTATAACGGGTCACATTTGAGCATACAGAGTAAGCAAATATGTACTTGTAATGTGCTCAGATAATTTCAATAAGTGCTTACAGAAAGGAAATTAATGTAGCCTCTAACTGCAATTGATTTACATCGGACAAACAGACCAAGCACTATGGCTCATAATACAATTACACCTCACCTGTTTGGACTATATTTTTATATTTCATTTTTACTTGCTGCCAGGAACGTTTGGGGCCTGTTGGGTTGCACCTGCGCTCACATCACATCACAAAATAAAATGTATAAAATAAAAAATAAAATATAATAAAATAACGTGTTAAATGGGTGGAAATCCCTAGATCAATGTTTAAATTAACACTCACGCATTGACTCTGTCGGCTATGTTTTGCCATGCATGCTCCCTTTCTTTTGCAGCTGAGGCTGTGTTACTTTTTTTCTGCAAAATTTGCATGTTATCGGCATATGCTGCCATCAGAATTTCGGCCTCAAGCGCTGTAAAATACATTGACCGCGCCTTCTTTCCCTCCGTCTCCATGGTGACTCGCTTAATCTGTGCTCCACTAATCAGGGCTTTATGTATCCTCGTGCGCGCGCTTAACTTGGGGTTAAAGCAACTCCGCGTTGACTGAACTAATTGTTATCAGCCTTTCTGAAACCGAATATTCCGAGTTGGACAGTTCGGGGTTACTCAACCCTGAGTATCGTTTTTCACTCTGAGTTTTCTAAACCGGCTTCCTGAAATAGGGCCCAGGGCAAGAAGGCGCGGTCAATGTATTTTACAGCGCTTGAGGCCGAAATTCTGATGGCAGCATATGCTGATAACATGCAAATTCCGCGGAAAAAAAGTAACACAGCTCAGCTGCAAAAGAAAGGGAGCATGCATGGCAAAACATAGCCGACAGAGTCAATGCGTGAGTGTTAATTTAAACATTGATCTAGGGATTTCCACCCATTTAACACGTTATTTTATTATATTTTATTTTATTTTTTATTTCATACATTTTATTTTGTGATGTGATGTGAGCGCAGGTGCAACCCAACAGGCCCCAAACGTGCCTGGCAGCAAGTAAAAATGAAATATAAAAATATAGTCCAAACAGGTGAGGTGTAATTGTATTATGAGCCATAGTGCTTGGTCTGTTTGTCCGATGTAAATCAATTGCAGTTAGAGGCTACATTAATTTTCTTTCTGTAAGCACTTATTGAAATTATCTGAGCACATTACAAGTACATATTTGCTTACTCTGTATGCTCAAATGTGACCCGTTATAGCCAACAGAAAAAAAGCGGAGGCCCGAAAAACAGGTGGGGGTCCTCCACCACCACCACTCACAGAGGCTGAGCAGTTGGCTTCCACATTTGTGATAATGTTGGCAGCATCACATATGATCTTCACAGTGCAGAGAACACAAATTAGCATCCATTACTATAATGAAATAATTTGTTAGTTTGAAATGCTACAGGGAACTATGTACCTGTACATTAATGCTGTGGAAAGACTTCCTGTTCACATAGTCTCCTTCATTTACTGAAGGAGCAATGATTGGAATGTGAGTGCCATCTGTACAGCCAATCACGCCTGGGAACCGTGAAATAAATGTAAAATTTAAGTAGTAGTTCAAGTATCACCACATCATGAATTAAGTTTTGTTCATCCTGCTACCTGCATATATATATTACAGATATTATATATATACATTATAATAAATAATACATATATATATAGTATATAACATATATATATTATATATACATATATATAATATATACATAATATATATATATAACATAGATATATTATATAGATATATTATATATATATTATATATATATATATACATATATATACAGAATATCATGATTTTGATACTAGCTATTGAGAAACTGCTGATCCTCAGCTTCGCATGCCCATTTTCAAATCTTGTGACCTCAGAGTGTATTCTTTTCTGACTCTTTTGTGTCTGGCTTATTGGCAGTAGTTACATCATAAGATTCTTAAAAACCGAGCTTTAAATGCTAATAAATTTCTAATAAAAACCCAGAGATGCTGACAGTGATCCCTGACTATTTTAGGGATATAAAGCACTATTTAAAACACAAAGCATTAAAACACATTAAGAAGAAAACATCTTGATGATGCTCAATCATCCAGGTAAATAAATCTCCAAAAGTTGATTCTGTTCATCTGGACGTAGCGTTTTGCTGGAGAAACATTTCGTCACTCATCCAAGTGACTTCTTCAGTCTCAGCTGACTGCAGGTTTCCAACCATATAAACAGCACATTTGCATAATGACTGAAACCAGCCCAGTGAAGGAACAATGGGCTGGGAGGTCAGCTCCTCAATCTTAATTATGCAAATTCTCATGACCACTGATCAATGGCCATGAGTACCATTCACAGAGAGTTGGGGAATGGCTGCAATCACAGCATTGTAAGATGGCAAAGAACCTGCAGTCAGCTGAGAATGAAGAAGTCACTTGGATGAGTGACGAAATGTTTCTCCAACAAAATGCTACGTCCAGATGAACAGAATCAACTTTTGGAGATAAGAAGACAACAGTCTTAATGAATTTGTTGTAGTTTAACCATTAAAGGACACTATTAAAAGGTTGGCTCAAAATATTGCCATCATTATTAAGCGTAGTGGTGGCCAAATTAAGGTATCCGACGCAGTGAAGCTTGTATTGAAGAGGGGTTAGTTACTCTAAGCTTTTTAACGCTTTTCTGCCCTCTGGTGGACAAAAATATGAAGAGGCGCATGAATGTACAACTCGAAATGAACTACTTCATTATGTTTGCCTCTGCACAGCTGAGTTGATACACTGTATTTGATATCATGTGACAATTCTCTGCGATATTGATAAGGTGGTTTGAACATGTATTTTGGGGGGTGGAAAGAAAAGTTTGTGTCGTATTTGATTATTAGGACTCAAGCAGTGATCTACTCAATGTAGCTCAGGAAGTCAATGAACATGGGACTCTGTTCAGAGGAACCAAGCCTGGACACTGGTTCTGTATGGAAGGCCATGGGTGCAAAACTAAAGACAATGTATCACTAATGGACATTTGTTTTATTGAAAATTTATCGTATATCCCCAGCACACATAATAAGTAAATGTATTGATTTCCTATTTTAATTAAATATATATTTTGACCCAATTATTTAAAGGTGTATTTATCTAGTTCACTTTGGTGCCCACCATCAAACATTATTCATTATACCTGTAGCTAATATTTTCTAATTCACGTTCATTATACTTAACTGCCTTTAACTCATATTACTCTTTACTCTCTGTAGAATAGGGACTTGATTCCATGTTACGCATCACAGCACACCTTTCATCTTGCTCAGTTGTTTCAATAACAAGTCAAATAAAGGTCTCACCACTCGCTGTCTGATGTGCGGACGTAATAGAAAGCCCTTGACAGCAGTTTTTAAAATTGGGCAGAGCCAAGAGACCACTTTCCTGGAGTCTAGTATGCCATGGAGCTTTTAATGACTTTACAGCGCGCGCACATGCATAAACACATACCAAAAATATTGTGTGTAAGCACTTAAGTGGATCTAATTTTTTGGGGATGCTTACATTTCTAGAAGCTGCTTTTATGGTGCAAGTTTTACTTGCAGTTTCTGCATTTTTCCAAAGCTGACATTGAAAACCGGATGTACTACATAATCTTTACTAGGATGCTAGCTGGTGTGTGCAAGTGATAATTAAATTAAAAACGTTAATTAATATAATAGCAGATGTGAAGAGATTTGCTTCCTCTCTAGGCTCGGTCTGCTATACATGCCTCGCAATAAATTTGTACAACTGATGGCTTTAGGAACAGGCTCTTGTAAGATTGTGGTGGCTCTTAAAAGAGCCTTTGAGTTCAAACGTAACAGCGATGACAGCTTACTTCTTCTTGGCTGCGGTCTTTTTCGCTTTAGGCTTGGCAGCCTTCTTTGCCGGGGATTTCTTGGCTGCGGGCGCCTTCTTGACCACCTTCTTCGGGCTTTTGGCGACCTTCTTCGGGCTTTTCGCGGCTTTCTTGGCGGGTTTCTTGGCAGCAGCTGGTTTCTTAGCCTTCTTCGGAGACTTTTTCGCGGCTGCGGGCTTCTTTACTGCCTTAGCCTTCTTCGCTGCCGCAGGTTTTTTGGCAGCGGCGGGCTTCTTGGCTTTAGGAGCAGCTTTCTTCGCTGGCTTCTTAGGCTTGGCCTCAGCGGTTTTCTTGCCAAGTTTAAAAGAACCAGAAGCGCCGGTGCCCTTAGTCTGAACTAGAGTGCCCTTAGAAACCAGGCTTTTGATGGCGATCTTAACGCGGGCGTTGTTCTTCTCCACATCATATCCTCCGGCAGCCAGAGCCTTCTTCAGGGCAGCTAGTGACACCCCTTTCCTTTCTTTGGAAGCGGTCACTACTTTAAGGATTTGGTCGCTGACGCTAGGGCCGGTCTTCTTGGGCTTGGAAGCCTTTTTCTTCGCTGGTTTGGCGGGAGCGGCGGCTGGCGCTGGTGCTACTTCTGCCATTTTTCCTTCTTTTGTTTTCTTTGTTGCTTTCGCGATCCAACTGGAGTCCGAGAGACGAGATGAGAAACTCGCAGCAGGAGTCGCCTTTTCAATGCAACATGAGAACCGTGGAGACTCAATCCAGCGCGGCGCTCTCGCTTGCAGCCCGAGTGAACATGTTCTGTGTTTTCTCTTCCAGATAAACACGTTAAAAAGTAGCTCAAGAGGCAACGATGCGGACTGACAGTGAAGCAGCTGACAAGCGGGCACGAGTGTCTTCAAATTTAGCCCATGCTGAGCCCCGGTGCTTATTGCAGTTTTTCCCTGAAACTCCGAAACCTCGGCGAGTCACAGCGGAGCTTGGCGGCTTCGCCCCTTCTTTTACCCCATAAAAGGACTTCAAATCAAGTAAACCTGCACCAAAATCACTTTTCCAGCTGAGCCACATGTTCTTTTACACATTCAAAGTGAAAACATCCACCTGCTGGCAGTCAGTTTGGAATAAAATGAAGATATTGTGACTGCAGCAAACACACTAATGAAGGTGGAGGCTGGTGACAGCCAGGCTTCATACCGGAGCTGTTCGCTTTAAAAGTTTCTTTTGCTAAGAACATTTATCACGAATTGAGAGAAATACTGAACATTACAGGGGATTATAACACACAATTGTATTATTAAGAGCCCCTCGGAGCCTTGTTGAGTCCGCGATTTGAAGACATTGGAAGCCTATTGGAAGTTGTGACGGTTTAAAGAAGACAGGCCGGTTTATAGGGCTCTTTCAACTTTCTGCTTCATAAGAAAACAAGAAAGAAAGAAAATGTGTGGAGAGAGGCAATGACAGAAAGAAATGTACAGAAAAAAATAGCCATTTGATGCTCCAACTTGAAGGCAGGCATTTGAAGGTCCCTGTATCCCATTCTCTGTTTTAGAAGCCAACATATATTTTCATTCCTTTTCGAGTTTCAAAAACCTCATGAGCTTCAGACTTGCACTGATCATTTTAGCCACAGAGGTGATGCTTATGTACCTAATAGTACATGTTATGAAGCAATGACTATCCACATACACACAATGGACAACTGTACCCTCAAACACACAATAATAACATGGACTGAACCACCACTCACAACCACCAGCACTTTATATAGCCTCTGTAGGAATTATCCACATATCTCACTTATCTTAACTGCACTACTGTATAATTATGTGTAAATAATCATTCTGTACATACGATAATTTTTAATTCTACAGCTGTTTAGAACTTGCATAGATCACATTTCTGTATAGCTGTATATCTCATATTTCTGTATAGTTTTTTTTATTTATATCCTGTTCATAGCCTGTACATAGCTTGTACTCACTACAGCCTGTACATACTTATAGTTATAGCATATTCATAACATACTTCATACCGTGTACATTATAACATACCATAATAGACCCATTTCTGTAATATACTTACATATCTATATTATAATATAATATTATATTATATAAAGCACTTCTGGATGGATGCAAACTGCATTTCGTTGCCTTGTACCTGTGACATGTGCAATGACAATAAAGTTGAATTCTATTCTATTCACTTTTAAATATAAATATCACAGGTATATAATAAGCATATTTAATATTACTACTACTACTACTACTACTACTACTACTACTACTACTACTACTACTACTACTACTACTACTAATAATAATAATAATAATAATAATAATAATAATAACTAAATGTTTTTTCATGAGTTTTTCATTTATGAATATAGTGTCTCTGAAATTACTTTTTTTCTATAATGGACGTCCAGTTATTATTATAAGCCCCACGCCCCGGTACAGAGGGCAAAAAGGAGAAGATCACGTTTAATCGGTTAAAACGCGGGTTGAGAAATATAAATCCAGACATGTGTGGTATCCACAGAAACCTCAGAATCTCAGCTAAAATGTCATATAAACCATTTCTACAACCACCAAACACACCGAAAACAAGCCGTGATTAAACGAGCAGTTACGTAAATGCGCAGAAGTCCGCTAAACAAACAAAACCGAACCAGAAATTCTTCAGACTTCATGTAACCGCTAAAGATAGGCTGGTTAGCTTCCAGGGCTATCACTGACTCCACACACCAAGTTTCACCACGATCAGACCAAAATTCACTGAATGAGCCGCAAAAGAAGACCACAAAAACACACAGCGGCGCAAATGCGCTAAGACAGAAATTGGCTTACCGTCCCGATTTCCTCTGGTTATTTTCGCCGGTAGCCGGTAGCCACATGACTAACAGTAGTTACAATGCCTACCTAACCACATCAGAGCAGTTTTCCGTCAACAACCTCCATTTTAGACCCACCTACAGACACGTGACTGAGCAGACGCCACATGCAGTAAATTTGGGCCCACGTGAGTTTTGGCATCACAACGTCTGATTGGTTGAAGTGACGTGAACGTGGCATCGTTACTATGAATCTATTGGCTCAAACGATTAAAAAGAGGTGTCAATCATGCAAATTGACCAAAAGAAACCAAAGTTACAGCCCCTCGGAGTTTAAAGGGCCAGAGGCCAATCAAACGCTCTATGCGCACGGCAGAAAAGGGCCATTACCATGTAAATGTGTGGTTAATTCTTCAAAAATATATTTAAAAAAAAAAGCATTTTTAGGCCTGTTAATAAAATTTATTAATTTCTGCTCTTTAATACCTAAAAAAATCAACTGGCATGGTGTCCAATTGTGTGCCAAAATTGGACATTTTTGTACAATCTGGATATTCATGTATTGACAGGGCTGTAATTTTTCACTGTTTCACTATAGAAACATGAATCTTTGCACAGATTGTTTATATGTTGGTTACTGAATTTCTGGAACCAAATGTGATCTGAGGCATATTATTCAAAGGGTTATATGCTAAAAATAAAATAATTAGGCGAGAATAAAATCTACTTTTCCTGTGTTCCAGTCTCAGTAATACACAGTAATATCTGCTTCAATATTTACACCTCTGATGAAATTTCCCAAATGTTAGCTTTATTTTGATACCAAGATTGTAAGGACAAAGTTTGTAATTGCAGAGAAATAATTAAATTTGGGCATTACATTTTCGAGCAGGAAGCTCAGAAACCCTCTTGGGGCTTAAGAGGTTAAGGAGTTACAGAGCACTGGATGGTTCCTAAAGAGAACGCTGGTAAAGAAATCCAACTCATACATGGTAATATGAGGTATTTAATTGTTGTACATGTTCTATTGTGATGTAGTATACAATGTAACAAGTATTTTTATCAAAGGGAAGAGGGAGACACTAAACCCCTTGGCTCTTTGATGATTCCTTCTATGACATGAAGGGGAATATCTCCTTCAGAGAATGATGCTGATGAACACACCAGTTCCCTTTGTCTGGATTAAACAATTATGTAATGCTACAGCTTGCAGACAAAAAAAAACAAAATGCAAGTGTCTGAACCAGTTATAGTTTAACATACTTTGTTCAGCAAATCAAGACTGTCCGAAATGCGAGATTTCTTCTGTTGCCATATTATAAATAGTGCATCGTATTAGAACGAAGCTCTTAAAAAAAAAAAGTGTGTGGCTCTTAAAAGAGCCGTTGAGTTCTTTCAGTTGGTGTGAATGAGTTTAACCGCCGAAGCCGTACAGAGTGCGGCCCTGTCTCTTCAGAGCGTACACCACGTCCATGGCGGTCACGGTCTTCCTCTTGGCGTGCTCGGTGTAAGTGACGGCGTCACGGATCACGTTCTCCAGGAACACCTTCAGCACACCGCGAGTCTCCTCGTAGATCAGACCCGAGATACGCTTCACTCCGCCACGACGAGCCAGACGGCG